TCAGTTACAAAAAAAATTTTAAAACATCTTATTTTGTGGGTCGCATTTTACTCAAGTGCTGATAAAAATACTGGGCTAATGACAGTTTGATGTGACTTGCATTAAAAAAAAAGACAAGAAAATTTAAAAATTATGAAACACACTCACGATTCAGGAGTTAGTCGGCTATCACAACAATCTCCAAAGAGTTTTGAGATTGGTGATTAAAATTTATTAGGTAGAATACCTAATAAATATCATGCATTTATGTAGGTATTCCTGTATCCTTCTATTTCTCGAACTTCCTGATAACTTCAACCGAAGGTGGTTTCTTTACTCTAGGACAAACTGCACTTAATTTTACCCCCAATTTCTTGCAGCAGTCTATAAATTTAACTTTCCCTACAAGTTCAAGAAATCTGAATTCCATTATACTCTTTGTCACCTTGTTTGTGGCCTGACAGTTTAATTTACAAGCTGACTTAAATTATATAGTCCCCATATTGCAAAGCTAAAAACAGGCAAAAAAATACCAATAATATTGTCTAGACCTTGCCATTGCCTTACATCCTATCATCAAGATACACCTGGACGTCATCATTATCATGCAAGATGGCACACTGTGTTTTCTTAGGAGCCTTTAAATTTGCCCACACCAATTCTGCTTCCTGGGTGTGTACCCTTGTAGCTGGATCAACTAAATTGTTGGCATGGACAATGTCTCGATGTCAGGCTATGTGATTGGGAAAATGCTGCTCAAGATTTTCATAGGCGCCCCAGTTGTCCATGATAGCCTCACTCCCAGGATGGAGACACTTCGGAGAATCAGTAAAAGAGTGTTACGATCCCTTCTCGCAACCGCCTTATAAAATCCCCTAGCAGATGACTCTGTAGACCCACGCGTCTGGAGCACGTCTTCCTCTGTTTTACTACAGAATATGGCAATAATAAGCACTGGTAAAGTTCGAGTGCTAAATATCAAGCAGCTTCAAATCACAGAATTTTTTAGCTATTATCGTTGTTATTATAATTACTATTATTATTATTATTATTATTATTATTATTATTATCATCATCATCATCATCATCATCATTCTTTAATGGTAACCTTCGCCTTGTGATTGAATTTGCTTTCATTGCTCTTCATCACTGCTGGGCTGCCAAAGGGGATGAACAGGTTGTTGGTGATGTCCTGGGAACCCACACCCTCC